AAGGCTGTGGGGAGACCTTATTGCAGCCTTTCAATACTTAAAGGGGGCTTCTAAGAAAGATGGGGACAGACTTTTTAGCAGGGCCAGTAGCAATAAGACAAGGGGTAATGGTTTTAAACTAAAAGATTCAGACTGGATATAAGGAAGAAATTTTTTACCATGAGGGCAGTGAAACACTGGAACAGGTTGCCCAGAGAGAGGTGGTAGATGCCCCATCCTTGGAAGCATTCAAGGCCAGGCTGGATGGGTTTCTGAGCAACCTGATCTAGTTGTAGATGTCCCTGCCCATTGCAGGGGGGATGGACTACATGACCTTTAAAGGTCCCTTCCATCCCAAAGGATTCTGATTCACATCTGGGCATGTTAAGTGTTTCTAGTGATGGAGACTGCCTACCCTGTTAAAATTTTTGAGCATCCTCATTGTGAAGTGTTTTCTGCTACCTAATAGGAATTCCCCTTGTTGCAGCTTGTGACATTTACACTTCATCCTCTTGCTATGCATAGAAACAGTGTGTATTATATACTACAGAGTCTTTAGAGTTGTTGTAACTCATTAAACTAGATGTCAAGTCTATTTTCTTGACTCAGTGTCCCTTCATCTTGTGCACCATTTTTTGGTAACCAGTGCAGAGATGGTCGGCCTCTGTCATCAAGGGATAGACGGACTGTACAACAGCTAGAAGAGAGACTAAGGACACTTCGAAGAAGAGAGAGGCATCTGGAGTCTATTGAAAAAAGCTGGTGGACAAAGTTCTGTGAAGCTATCCGACCTCTAAAGGTAAAACTTTTTCTTACTTTTTCAGACTTAAATTGGAATAACTTCCAGCTTTCTTCTTCCCATATAAATCACAGGTTAAGTTTATCAGTTACCATCCTGAATATCAACTGCTTTTTTTTAATTACTATGAACTACACAATGACAGCCTTATAGCAAGCTGTGTTTGAGCTCTTGGAAAACCTTTTACTTTGCCTAAAATATGATTAAGATTGAAACGGAGCATGTCCTAGCTGATCTACTATAGTGCCACTGCCATAGAAAATGTGAATATCTTATCTTTTCTCAGGCGTGTGAAAATGGGAAGAAGAGAAGGAAGAATTCTATAGATGTCAGGTAGCTTAAGTTAATCTAAATTACATGTAGCCAGCAGAAGTGAGAGATACTTTGATTTGATGAGAATATATGCATTTGGAATGAGCATCTTGCCAAGTAATTACTTGATCAATAGTAAGCTAGCTGCATAGAACTTACATCTTGATGCTTAACCAGTGCAAAAGAGATTGTTACTGGGGCAAAGCTTTGATCTTATGACTTTGATTTTAATGGATACCTGGTTTTAAAAACCAGTACTTTCATGGAACAGTATTGCCATATAAAGTATTTTTTGCCAACTAGATGTAGGAAGAAATTCTAGCATTATTTCAAACTGTAGGCTGCACTTTGAAAAGCTGAGGGAGGGCTATAAGCAATTTCCTCTACCACCATTGCTACTGTTAATGCTGAGTACCGATGGAAATGAGCTGAAATTGCAGTTGAACAAAAGCTGTCAGTGTGAAATTCTTAGCGGAGTTATCTTTCTATGATACATTAGAAATCTAGACTTAGCTCTTTCACTTAAAGGACAAATATCCCTAACTATTCACTTTAACAGTTAGGATGATTCCTTTGATTCAGAATAGCTTGGGTAGTTTCTTTAACTTTTCACATTAACCTGAAATTTTGAGATTGGCCATATCTGTTGTCTGTAGGACTTTAACAGTTCATTGTGTTCTCATAGGATAGTATATAATATCATTAATTACTTAGAGATTATCACTCTATGGTCAGGATGGTATTCCAGTATCTCTTTGTTCTTGTGGTCTGAATGCTTCTGATTCTCTCAGTAACTGTGACAGTCACTGTGAATTCTTAAGAATAGCAGACTAAAGGGGAGTTACAGGTGGATAATTTTTCCTGACAGATTTTCACTTAGAATAGGGCTGTGCTATGAAGCATGTTGCAAAACTTGTTTACTTTGACTTTTCCTTGAGCTGTCCTGTGAAGGTGATAATATCCATCACTTAACATAACTCTTGCAGGACTGTTTTGCTGTTACTTTAATAGTATTTGAGTTGTCTTTGCACATATATAACTTGTCAATCGTTCAGTTAGTCTTTCATGAAAAGAATGAGATCTTTTAATATCTATATATAATACTTCTGATCAATGTAGAAGTGCAGAAAAATATTTTGGAGCTTTGCTTATTACGTTACAATACTCTATCTTTAGTGCAACTTGTATATTGTTCAAGAATGTGGCCATTTCTCAGATGTCGAGAGAAGTTCCATTTGTTGTGAGGCAAGTACTAGATATGGAGAATGCTATTTCTGCTGTGTTTGCGATAGTCAGGTTTATGGGAGTTGCAGACTTACTGGGACTGACAGAATAGAGTAACGTGTTCAGGAATAGCACTTAGTCTTGGAGGTCTTTTACAGTGTTAACTTAATGTCTACATTCAGACTTCTATAATCATATTGTCGTTCCATAGTGTCTTCCTATATTCTTGCTCTACTTATTTTGTTACTGCTAAATATCTATTACCATGTGATTTGTTGTTAAACAAAGCCAAAACTTCTTTCTCTGAAGAGTAAGCTTTCTTTGACATGAATAAAGTAAATTTTGAGAACAATTGTTTTACTCAAAGCTAAATTAAACTCAGAGATGAAGTTGTTAATTTTTAATTTAGTTAAAAGCAACACATGTGGAAGATCCCAAGGAAATGAGTAATGGTCAGCATGGGATTGTCAAGTAATGTCAAACTAGTCTAATTTCTTTCTACAAAATGTAATCTTTCCTGTAGATAGCAAATCTACTGTTTCTCCTTTATTATGGTTTCTCACACTTTTATCTGATACTCTCAGCAGCAAGAGGAATGTGATATAGTCAAAGGAAGAGGTATAAAAACTGTTCAGGGAAAAAAAAACTCCAGAGCACATAGTTATGTTTGCTCAATATATGAACAAGACTATAGACTGTGAAACACGGAAGTCTACTCAACAATGCTAAGTTGGGAGTGTTGCATCATTTTTTCATAGGGTACTTCAAAACAGTTGTGAACCAAATGAAGAGATGCCTGAGGTGAGTAATGTAAGAAAATGAAGTACTCCATTTTGAAGATTGAGACCTGTTTGAACAGAGCATGCTCATGCTTAGCCCCATGCAGTGACTTAAAGGCATTGACATCAGTCCAAATATATGGAAGTTACTTCAAAGAGAATAGTGTTCTGATAGAGTGGGACACTTGGACTCTAGCAAGAGAGAGAGAAACTGTTCTCCTGTCTAATCTTAAGGATAATGAGGACTTTGTATAGATGTGTCAGTCTCTCCACTTGCTGCTGAAGGCCTTCAGAGAAGCATAGGTACAGTTAATGCTGTCTTGAGGATGGATGGCTAGGGTATTCCTCTTTTTTTTTTTTTTTTCCCCAGAGGGGAGACTGTAGGCAATTGCTTGGATAACAGCCATGCTGGCAGAGTGAGTGCAGACTGTAGGTGCTGTCAGGACACAGTTTAGTTGCCTCAAAGAGGTGGTGTGGCTAAACTGACAGGCTTTCTACCTGCATTCACAGCTGCATCTTCTACATCAGAAAGGTTGGCAACATGACAAGCAAGAGGTGTGAATATTTCATGTCCTAAGTTTAAATAGTGATAACTTAATACTTAGTGTTTGGCTTCATCTAACAATCAATTTTAACCCATGTTTGCCATGTTACCTGAAACTTACTGGAAAGTAGGTTGTATCATGCAATAGTGTGGTGGGTTGACTTGGCTGGCTGCCAAATGCCCACCCAGCTGCTCTCTCATCTCCATCAACTGGATGGGGAAGGAAATAAGATGGAAAAAGGTGTGGGTCAAGATAGACAGGGCAGTTGCTTACCAGTTGCTGTCATGGGCAAAACAGAGTTGAAGAAAATTGCCAGTTAAAATTGATTTGAATGATAAAAAGCAAAGACCATTGAAAACACCTTCCTGCCCCCCACCCGCTCTTGCCCTGGCTCAACTTCACTCCTTTAGTCCTGACTCTGGAGTGGCACAGTGGGGATGGGGAATAGGGATTTGCCATCAGTCCATGACACCTCCTCACATGTTGTCCCTGTTCCAGCATGGGTCTACTCCATGGGCTGCAGTTCAAAAGAACCTGCTTCAGCATGTGGGATGTCTATAGGTTGCAGCGTCCTTCAGAAAATATCCAATTGTTCTGGTGTGTGATTATCTGCTTTAGCTGCTTCCTTACTTGACTGTGTAGAGGCTTTCTACTAAGATGCTAAAGGAACCCATTTCAGGCAGCAGTGTAAGTTGTACTCATTTTTTTAATAGCTGCAGTCTTGCATGAAAACAAGGTTCACTGTTTTTTGGCAGTTACATGTGTGCATACTAGCTTGTACAACAGATTGTAGATTAGAAGACCCAAGCAGACACTTAGAGGCGATCAAGGTGATGTAAGTGCAAGGTAGCAGCTCTGAAACCTGTTCTGTAGTAAATGATTGAGTACAGGTGGGTATGGGTCTGTATTTTGTAGCTGAGGGATATGAGGAAGTGGCCTGGAAATGGAGCAGTTCAAACTGTAGTGGAAGAGGTAACATAGTTTGAGGTATGGTTGCATTGAAGACCTGCTTTCAAAAGGACTAGGGAGTAGAAAGTAAGATTGCCTTGCATTGAAAGTCAGACTTCTCTTAATATAGATCAGAGGTTGCTTTCTTGTTTATGTTTTGTTTTTTTATGACCTTACTAAATTCCTCTGTGTTGTTGGCTGAAATCCAGGCTTTTTGGTTTTGCCTGTTCTAGTACTAAAAGCTTTTCAGCATCAGTTGATAAATAGTCCTGCTATGAGAACAAGAGCTTTTGATTAAGTGCTGTCCTTTCCTCTGAAGCTGAACATGTACTCATGTTCTCAGGGGCTTGGATTCCTTCTCATTCATGCTGGGATACAAAGCAGAATTGTTTTGTAAATTTGCATGGCAAAGTGTATCTAGACTCTTTGAAGGTATTCTAATTGGTTTAAAGCTAGTAAACAGCAGTATGGTAATGTCACAATAAGATTGTGGGTGACAGATTTGTTCTTTGCTATAGGTGACAAGTAAAAGGCAACAGTGAGTGTATAGCTCCTGCTACAATGTTTTTTCTAGCCTATCTTAGGCTTTATGGGGGGGGCAAGGAAAGGAAGTGCTTATTTTTCTCTTACCCAGATACCAAATGATACCCAACTGGATTTTTTTACGTTGGGTTAATACCACTTGAATAAGGCTCAGCCAGACTCTAAGTTGCAAACTCAGCTACTAGTCTGAGTGTTGGTATTCTCTTAATTATTGGCCAAGACCTGGTTAACAGACTATAAATGAGGTGTTGATTTGGTCTGTAATCAGTTGAGGTACAAGGAAAATCCAGGTAAGAACAAAGATCCCTTCTGTGAAAGGCCTAAGTCAACTGATGTTCTCAAATTGTGTAAATGTAGGTTGGTGTTAATTGCAAATCATTTATGGTTCAGTAGTCTAATACCACTGTGGAAATATAAAATGAACTAAGGTAGAATGAAGGTGTTTAATATTAGCCTTTTCAATCTCGTATTTAATGGGACTGGAGTTGAGGTTAAAATGAGAAAAGGAATGCTTTTTCAACCACTTACCTACTGTGAAGAGTGTTCTGCATCACTTCAGAAGACAGACGTATTCCAGAGGAGATCTGGATACCTGTCTACTGGCCATAGTTGGCAGAAGGTAATGAAGTAAAGCAAGCTTTATGCTCTTGGTCTTAATTGTTTTTAAACATTTATTTCCTGTATGACTAATACCTAGTGGGAGTTTGCTGTGGAGAGGTAAAATCTTAGTACACTTAAATATGTGGAAATGCACAAGTTAATACTTACCTTGATATTAGTCTCTAAATCTATACCTAATAAGGCCTACATAATTTGAGTTGTTTTATAAGCGGTGTTCTAATACTGTGTTTGAGTTTGCAGATGGAAGCTTATCTTCAGAATTTAATGAACAATAATAGTGTTGTAACTCTGAATATCTTTAATAAGCAGCTGTAATAAAATTCTTAACCTTTTCAAGATGGCCGTGTGCCAAGTTTTAAGGTTAATGAAGTAATTTAAACTATGAAACTGCCTCATTCATGTGGAAGACCATGCATTGTGTTCCTGCATGTAGAATTTGGAAATAAGTCTGTCTAGGTTGTTTCAAGTCTAGCAATCCGAAAACATTGTTTTTGGAAGTTCAGCATGCTTATCTGAGCATATTCCATGACTAGGATTTCTAGGAAAATACAGTGAATCTGTTGGAGCTGTAACTGAATGGGTTTGCTATCTGAGCTCATTTTTGTGCACCATCCCCTAACACCTCACCCCCCACCCTCCCCAAACAAAGAAAAGAAAGACTGTGAGGGAGAAAACGTGCCAAAGAAATAGAGAACGATTTTCTGAACTTGCTTGTAGCCCAGGAAAAACAATAGGAGGTATTCTTGTTGAGGACAGCTTGGAGAACGAAGTCCCTGGCTTGAGTGCTGTATTTGGTAGGCATAGTAAAAACACTTTCCTGTGTTTTAATTAAGATCTTCAGGAACAACCTTATTTCTCTGAATCTACTTGATTCAGACCATTCATAGAACTGAAAGAAACGAGGCCACTTTTGAAAGAAGGTGGCTTCTTCCTCTAAAGGTAAAAATGAGAAGGCAATGGGGAAAACAGAATGTACGGGTATCAGAGTATTACTTTCAGTTCTCTAAACTTACTGCTAAGTTGCCTGGATTTTTCCTGTTTAAAATAAACTTTTCATACTTTGACTATATTCAAGGACTAAATCATCTAGCGCTTTAAGCTGTTTGCTTATTTTAATCTAGCCCTTAAAACCTGAAAAATCTGAATGCTCAAACCCAGCTTAACTGCTGATGTGGTTGGTCTACAAAATAAATCTTCACTCTACTCCTGGTAAACTTAGTTTAGTGTTTCATATGCCCCCTTAGCTTAGCCAAGAAATTCTGTTCTTATTTTGTACATCAGGCAGTTCTGCATTAGTGTGCAAAAGCTTACAAAGAAGCCTGCTGTTATTGGTTTTAAAAACAATAGCAGTATGTGATTTAATTATAGTGGTCCTTAAATTTTTACTTGTCCTTATCTATGCTTATGACTTGCTGGCTAAATAACCGTAGCTGTTACACTTTTTTGGTTTCAAATTCTTGAATAGGGTAGACACTCCAAAGGAAGATTATGGGGCAAATGACTCGGTACAGCTAAAGGGGTATGGAAGCTCTTCTAGAACCTTCTCCAGAAGAGAGGCCTTTATCTGGCGGTTACAATGTGGTTTTAGTAATCTTATTGTATTTTAATAACTTGTGGATAGATAGTGTTTTAGAATAATAGTATTTAAGTATTACTTATCTAGATTTTCTTGAAACTCAAGTATTTTTCCTACTACCTTAGTATTTATAAGCATCTTTTTTTTTCTAGTCCATTGTCAAGTCTTCACATAACTTGAGTTAAATTTCTAGGTGACTTAAACCTTTGAGGCAAAATACTTTGTAAAGTTGATGATTTCTAGAACTTGAACCTTCAAAATTGCTTTGAAATACTCAATACTGATGAGTAACTGAGAGGACTTGCAGGCAGAAGGAGGAAAAAAGTAGACCTGGTATTTGGGCTTGGTTACTTGAGTTTTACATCACTCCCTCCAAGTGATTTGGTCACTGAGTGTTTCTGAGTAGAGCTATGGAAGGGAGCTCTCACTTGGGAAGGGTGAGATGTTCCTTGTAAGCTGTGCACAGGTTGCCTCCTGTTGGAAGGTGAGCACACAGGCATGGTGGCTGAGGGAAACAAACTCTTATTTCCCTTAACTATATGCACGCATTTGGGTTCAATTAAGGATTTCCATATAATATAGCAAGTATGGGTTGTGCATTCTGCTAAATGCCATGTTCATTTAATATAACATCTTATCTGTATACTTACGGGTAGAATTCTGTATTGCACTATAGCATGTGATAAACTTTAACGTTTGATTCTGAGCTTAGTGTATCCACCAGACAAAGAGGTGGTTCTCGTCTTAGATGATCAACTTCTTAAATGCTTGACATAAACCCTGTTTAACAGAATAAACATTTTGTTAGCACTTCTCTGAAGTATTTACCAAAAAGTTACTGTTTCAAGTGTGTTTGAGCTCTGAGGTGGTCCAAGATCATTAGTCCTTTATTGAAACTTATACAAGTCTTCATTTGTATCAACTGCAAGCACTTGCAGCTAAACTCTAATAATTCTTTACTTCTAGATTGTGTGGGGAGTATTCTTCATCATTGTGGCACTGCTCTTCACTGTCTCTCTGTTTTTGTCAAAGTAAGTACATTTCAGCATTTTTCTTAACCACTTAAACTACATAGTTTCTGCTCTAACATTAAAATCAGGGGTGGTTTGCTTCAAGAGTCAGCCCACTTTTCTATGCTGCATTTCTGTAATTAGAGCTGCATTTCTCATTATAATAGTGTATCTTGAAACTGAGTAAAATGTGCTAAAACAGATTAAAAAAAAGGGACATGGTTCAGCTTGATTGACTGTATGCTGTTGAAAACAGTTATGATTCAGCAGAAAAATTAAGCATATATGTTAAGTAAGTTCAATTCAGACTACAGAAGTATTGAGTGAATCTTAATGCATGTAGGTACTCCTTGGGCTGGCTAACAGGTGCTTAAGTCCTTGCAGTAAATGACATGTATAATCCATTACGATGTGTATTACATTGTAATTGTTTCATGGTGTTGAAAGCAATATAGCCAGCTGCAAATCTGGTGGATTTCAATGAAGATTGACACTAACCAGAGGTCTCAGATGTTGGCATTTCTAATTTTTCAGACTGGGCAAATAAGCTCTATGACCGAACTAGGGAAAAGCTAAAATGCCAAGGAGATGCAGAAATCAATACACCTTTTCATAGGGCAAGTGCAATGAGTGTGGTAAAACAAGGCATATGTCTATATAGATATGAAAAAGCTGTCAGTCTCAGGGCTTAGTTCAGCTTTTCTGAGCTGCCCTTTTAAATTAAACTGAAGACAAAGCTCTGGGAGAACCATAGTACTTACCCAGTTTTTCTTAATTACTGCAGTTTGGACAAAGCTCTGCATTCTGCTGGCTTCGACTCGGGATTTATAATTTTAGGAACTAATCTGACCAATCCATTGAATATGCTGTTACCTGTTCTTCAAACAGTAAGTAAAAAATTGGTCATATTCAGTGGATGGAAGCCAAAGTCAGTTGCTGGAGGAAGGTGGTGCTTGAAACGAGTTTCATCTGTTGCGAACATAGTGGCAATGAAGAATGACATCACTTGTACTTGTCATACACCAAATAAAAGCAACTTTTTCTCATGCCCTACCTACATTCTAGTTGTCTGTGTACTTGATAGTTTATCCACCTTGAGTGAAGTAAATGCACTTTTCAGTTTTCAATATATTTATTGCACCTTGAAAGATATATTGTGCTCTGTGCCATTATGTATGTTATAGTAATGCATTAGTCTTTGAAACAAACCCAACATAAGAACAAATGTCTGTTAACTTCAGTAGGGTTGGAAGGCAACAAGGCCACATACAAATTGGCAATCAGTCATGGGTAAGCTAAGAAAAAGAAAAGCTTTAATGTAAGCTAGTGCTTTACTCTCCCCTAGTTGAGTTCTTTCTGTATTTTTGGTATAATGCGTTGGCACAATGCATTGCTTCCCCATGGTTTCTAAAACTATTGAACACCTAAGCATGCAGTTTGCTGAGAAAAGTAGTGTTCAGCAGCAGTATTATCTCAAGCTGTTATTAATGTAAATATAAAAATCAAGTTTTGGATGCAAATACATTTGGAAATATTCACGAATAGAATGCCTATACAGTTTTAAAATGATTGTTGCCACTGTGGTGTTTCTTTTAAAAGTACTCTCAGAATGGAATTAAGTATTTCTTGGCCTAAAAATGTATAACACTTCAGAATTAAGGCAAGTTTTAAATTAAGAAAAATACTCAGTGGCTTTCCCAAACTAATTGTGTAAGCTCTATTAGCAGCAAGCTATATTAGCTGGCTCCAAATACAGCTATGTAAAACTTTGAAATGGAAGGACTCTTACTACCTCAGATACTATAAGTAGAAACTACTTACTTAGCTTTAAGTGAGGGAAGAGCTTGTCTTCTAGTTTGAACATCTTCTTGTCTTTTTAACTGCTTGTGTTCTTGTTTTAGGTTTTTCCACTTGATTACATTCTTATTACAACTATTGTTATGTACTTTATCTTCACTTCAATGGCAGGGATTCGAAATATGGGTATATGGTTCTTCTGGATAAGGGTAAATGTGACTTGAGTTCAGTTTATAATACTTTGTAAGATGTTTAACAAATATGTGATATTCAATATATTTAATAAATAGTCATTATTTATGTACTGCTTCATAAATACTGGATGTTGCAAATACAGACAATGCTATGTCTAATGAGTGTTAGAAGCCTATTGTACAATTTTCACTGCTTTTGAAAGGTGTTCTGTTTTGCTAAGTTATCAGACCAAAACTGATGTTTTAGTTTAATAGTGAGCTGACTCTTTCAAGTGTTTAATCAGTGGCACTTTGGCTTCTGACTTTTCTAAGTTAAAGCCATATGATTTTGATATACTGGAAGTATTATTGAATTTTGTGGTCAAAATCTGTAATGTGCATGCAGTCAGTAGTGCTTGAATTGCTTTTTAGGTGGCAAGCAAGTTCATCTAGCTTGATAAGACATGAAACAGTACAGTGATGGTATGGCATATCTAAATATGATGCAAATAATATATTACTATATTTGAAAAAGCAGCTTTGTATCCAACAGTATGCCATTCATGCCTGTGATGCTTGGTTAAATATTTCCCTGCTTCTGTGCCTACTTTCCCTTTAATACTGTCATCCTTTCATGTGGTGACACCCCAAAATTGTGAACAGTGACCCTGAGTCCTTGCATTGAGTTGAGATTGGCAGCTGGTTTTTGTCTTCCATCACTTACCTCTCAGCTGCCAGCTTCTTTACCCTAATATGGTACTCAGGTTGAGCCTTCGGGGATTACAGGATGGTGTGGTACCTACAGGGTAACAATGAGGGATTATGTTGTTCCCTGCAGTGTAAAGTGGAAAAGACACCACCGTATGGTGCACAAGTTTTCTCAGAGCCTGGGAACACTCTCTTATAACTCCCTCCTCTGTTTCTAGATCTGATTAGAGGTGTAGTGATAGATGTCATCTCACCCTGGCTGAAGGACACAATATTCTTTGACAAACGAAGGCAGTTTATCAGTGATAGGCAACATCATTTAAATCTTGCTGCTAGCTGCTGGTTTATAAATATTCTGGGTCATTAATACAAAAAACAGTTAATTTGGTTAAATAGCTGTGCTTTGAAATTCAGGTAAATGCACCTGAAAACCTGCTTTGACTCATTGGAATTAAGTTGCCAGAGGATAATTTTAGCAGCCTCCTACTTCTGTCAGTAGAATTAAAGCTGTTACTTCAATTAAAGAGGATTTTAAATGTCTTCAGGAAAAAAAAAAGATTTTTCACTATGTTAATATCTGTATGTTTTCTGGTTTTAGCTTTATAAAATCAGACGAGGAAAAACACGACCTCAAGCACTCTTGTTTCTCTGTATGATACTTCTGTTGATAGTTCTTCATACAAGTTACATGATCTACAGTCTTGCCCCTCAGTATGTAATGTATGGAAGCCAAAAATACCTGGTACAGGTGAGATGTAATACTTTCTTTTTAAAAAAAAATCTTGCCTTCTGTATCAAAAATGTACTGCTTAGAGTGACTTTTAAAGCCAGGTACGTTCTCAGTTTTGAAGACCCTTTTGTAGCCAGCTTTTTTTAACTACCAGTAGGTCTCTTGATAAGACACAAATCAGAAACTGGTTGTACTATGTATAACAACTTAATTCCTAGATCATCTTCAGACAATGTAAAGCTTTGAATATTGCTTTACTTCTTTTGGTAAGACAGCTGCTAGCTTCCACTAGATTTTTGTACTGGTATGCTTAGGTTGCTGAGTGACTGCAATGAAGATTAGTTTTAGTGTGTAAGGCTGTCTATAGACTAAAACAATGTTGTTGTTCTGCAGTTGATTAGTTCTTATGTGCATATTTGTGGGAAATTACAAAGATAACTAGGTACAGGAGAGGATAATAAGAATGAAGCTGAGTATGTCCTAATTAATCACATTTTGGACACTTTGGCCTGTCCAACTTCATGAAACTTATTGCAGTTCTTGTTTGCTAAAATCTTATAGAATAAAGTAGTTAACATTAGTCTCTGCTTTTGTTATTGCACTTTAGTGTACTTCAAGGTTTGGTTTTTTAAAGTCTTTCATCTTCTTTACCTGAAGGCTTTAATTCTTGTATTTCATTTTAGTTTGAATGGAGGCCTGCATGTTTATGGGGAAGTTCAAAGTTACACATCATAAGCATCTTGAGGGGTTCTATGGCCAGCTGTATACCAAGATCTGGTATCCTACAGGGGGAGGCTTTGTTAGATCTGATCTTGCAAATGTAGACAACTAATTGGGTCATGAACTGGTTACTCATGTTCAGGCACACAGAAGTCCAGATCTCTTGATGTGCTGTTTGAGGTTTAAGTATAAGTTTCACAAAGACAAAACAATTGAGCCAGAGTGGTTGGGAGAAGGGATTTAAATGCGACTGAAGTAACGGAGTGCTGCTTTGAGCATTTGGAATGCTTCTGTTAGTTTTCCAGAAAGCTGTGCCTCTGGGAGAAGGACATGCTGCTTTAAAAAAAAAAAACAATCACCCACCAACCTTCGGCTGAAAATATTTAGTGAAATGTGTAACTTATCACTATTGATTCTTTCAGTTTAAACTGAAGAGTAGATGCAGAATACTTTGAGCAAAAGGATTACAAGGAGAAATTGAAGTTGAAGTAGTGTTAAACATGCTAGAGAAGAGGTACCTGATCAACTTAAATGTGCTGAGTGGATATGGTAGAACTGCCGCTGCAGGAGGTGAAGCATTCAGTAAATGCTACTTTTCTGCTGTCTTTACATCTAAATTGTGTCTGGTAATGGGAGGTTTGTGATATCCTGATATCAATCCAAGCACAATGATAGAATCACTGTAGGGGACTTGAATATTTGGTATTTAGGAAGTTTAATGCATTTTTAGTGGATTTTATGCTAGATATAACTAATACAAAACAAACATGCTTAGGCATCTATAAATTGGCTCAACTTGTCAGAGTTAGGGTAGTAACAGCAAGAAACTAAGCTGAGAAGTGGTTTGCTTCCATGGTGAGTTTACATAGAACTTCTGGCATGATTACTTACTGTGTATGTAGCCTAGAACATCATATAGCTATATCTGAGTTAGTTATGAGCTTAAGTCCCTGCAAAAGGCAGTTTGTTGCTTGTTTTTTATATTGCAGACTGATAGTTTGTCTTTAATTACAGTGCAGAACCATTGTGGGTGGAAGGGTGGGAAGGACAATTTCATTAAGGATCCTACAAAGCTGGTCTTTAAGCCTTTAGTGACCTGAGAAAAGAATCTTTCATGATAAAGCTTGCAGATAACATGGAAGATTGAAGAGAGAAGCAAGTAATAAACACTGGAGCTAGCAACTTGTTTTGCTTTATGAATAAAATGGCAATGTTTCCATAAAATATGTGTATATTGAAGGGGACAGGAGGACTGGGACTTAAACAGCTAACATGCAAGTGTTTGTTATGACAAATAGTATCTGAACATAGATTTATAGTTTGTAATGAAAAGGGCCAAGAGAATGGAGCACAGCAGTAGGGAGGCTCTTATGTCATTCAAACAGCTACTGAAATACAATCCTGGTCAGCACTGCAAGAAGGATTAGCTAGAATGGTTGAGTAGAGCTACAACTTCTCATTTAAAGGATTAAAAAAATGTTATGCTCAAGATAGCCATCCTGGGTCTTTAGCTTCTTATGTCCCATTTCAAAGAGCTGTGTTTAAAGTGCATAAAGTGACTTGGATAGAAACTGTTTTTATTGTTAAAATAACATGAGGCATAAAGAATATGCTGGTAAATTACATCTGGACTTCTCTGGCATACCAAGTAAATACAAGGTTTTTAGACCACATCCTCTCAAAGAATCTTTCAGAATGTACTAGACACACTTTCTGTGTCTGACTACCCTGATAACTGGATGTTACATTTTTGTATTTTGAAATGAGGAGAGATGGTGTCTGGGAATGAAGAGGAATGACAGATTTTTCCGTGCATGTCAGCAATGAGGAGGTTCTTAAGAGTTATGAATTGGTTATTATGGAACTGAGGAGTGGCCAGGAACATACACAGGAACTGGGCAAGTGAAGTACATTTTGTGCCTATGGCAAGCTTCCTGATGATGGAAGCTTTATGCACGAGTTTGCTTGGATGGTCTAGATTTTCATTGCTCTTGCACACCACTGTCAGTTTCATGATTTAAAATAACACCACTGGTAACCAACACTGTACAGGACCAGGTGATAAGTAAGCAATATTCCAAGTCAGCCTAGTGGATGAGCAGGCTGATAAACATATATGTCAGAATCTGGTGGCTCACAAAAAGACTGTGTAAAAGGAACACTTCCCCCTGTTCTTTGCTCTACAGTAATTCCCAATCTAGTAACCTGTCAAACTAATTTGTAACCAAAGTCTATAGTGATGCATTAGACAAGTTAGAATCCTGTTTGAATCTTGAACTGTTTCCTTTGGAGGTTGTTACTCTTGACAAAGCCTTTTAACTTTGAAGTGCTGTTGACTTTTCCTGATAATCTAATAGTGTAGAAAAATGGAGCTCTTGTGAGGCAATTAATGTTAGCTAAATGTGGGCTACTTGCTTTATTTGTTGGGATGTTCAAAGCATGTGTCACCAATTAATTGAAAGTGTCTTCAGGTATGATATCTGTAGGAAACTTTTGAAAGCTTCTTTTGGATACAATGCCCTTACTAACTGAGGCCCTGTGTAGGGCTTTGGTCAGCTTGCATAGTTCTTCAAACACTGAGGAATGCTTGGCTTCATTTCTTAAGACAACCTTTGTAACATCTGCTAAACAGCCATGAGTCTCTTTATAGCCTTTCACAAAGGTAGAGACTTCTGTCTGCATCCATGCTGCCTTCTTGGCTTTGTAGCAGAAATGTAACTTTGCCCATACTTGAAGTGTAATTGCTATTTCTGTTCAAGAAGGCCAAGTCTTTTTCCATTTGTCTGAAAGAAAGACCACTGCTTGCTGATGCTTCTACCTAGTGGACCTGTAAGACTTCACTGGCCCAGACAGGAATTAAAAGGCCAGCACTTGCCATAGGTGACACTGGTACTTTTCCCCAGTTGAGGGCCAGAGCAGCAGCAGTCGCTTTCCTTCCTCAGCCTTCACATAGATAATTTGGAGGAGCGGAGCTAAGCTGCAAGACACTGAGTGTCTCCCTTGTCATCAGCAGAAATCCAGAAGTATCCCTTAGATGGCCAAGCGTGCAAACAGATCTTTTTAAGTTCTTGATCCTGAACATAAGCAGGAACAAATTATGTAAGTGTAACAGGCTGTAACCTAACCCTTTATATGATAGCTTGCAATTTCCTTAAGTGGCCAAAAATGCGTCAGCTCTTGAAGCACACATACTGAGTTACTGTACTTGGTTTTGTCTCCTGCTTGTCCTTGAGGCATCCTGCTTTCAGCTTTGGACAGGATGTGATAACTGGAACATGAGTGTTACTCTGACAATACTCATACTAAAAATGCCTGAGACTTGAGCGCTCTACTGTGTAATGCAAAGTAAATTATCTTGAGGAATTCTTCTGTAGACACATCTCTGCTATCACTTATGCGTCTTTTCCATGTCCAGTCACTTTCTCTGTGCCCTGTGGGGCAAAAGGGGCTCTATGCTAATACTAAAGTGCTGAGATGACAGCATTGAGGGCAAAGCTCTCACCTTTTCTGGGAAATCAGCACAGCTTGGGTGCCTATGAAGTGCCTGAATACTAATGCACGCAGCAGGGGAAGCAAAGGAGGAGTTAGAAGTTTGCATGCAGTCGCAGGTCTGCGGTCTCACTGGGATCAGAGACGTGGTGAAATAGCTCACACAACTGGACTGCTGCTGTGGCTAGGTGTGGGCTCTAAGAGGGACAGACTGGGATGGCCAGTAGGGAGAGCTGACTTTTTTGAGAGAGCAGTGGGAAAGCATGGAGTTTTGCTTTGGAATGGCTAAGCCAGTGAAGTGCCTGGGTTAGGATTAGAGGGCAGATCAGCATGGGTGATATTGTCTGTTACAGGCTACCTGATCAGGAGGAAGTAGCAGATGATCCCTTAAGACACCTGTAAATAACTCCATGTTCCCAGTCCCTGGTCCTCATAGGAGGCTTGAGCCACGCAGGTATCTTCTGGAAAAGCAGCACAGTTGAGCACAAGCAATCCAGGAGGCTTCTGGAATGCACAGATGCCAACTTCCTGATACAGGCAATTGAGGAGCTGAAATAAGGAGATGCTGTCTTGAACCTGATGCTGAAAACAAGGAAGAAGTGATCAAGGGCAGTCTTGGCTGCAGTGAGCATGAGATGGTGAAAGTTCAGGATCCTCAGAGGAAAGAACAGGGCAAATAGTAGTATCACAACCCTGGAGTCAGGAGAGCAGATTTTAACCTGTTCAGGGTCCTGCTTGGAAGAGTTCTAGTATATAGAAACCAATTCTGTGCTGGCAAAGGTGGTGATTTTTTTCTTTAATTTCTTCCACTGGACGAAGTGATACTGAACTCTTGCTGAATCTTACCATAAATATTATTAGATTTTAGTTAATCCTTTAATATAAGTAATAACTTCCAAATTATTTCTTTTCTGTGTGAGTTACCTTTGTGTAAGACTACTTTTTCTTTAATACCTGTGTAGTTTGCTATGTGTAATACTACTTGTATATTGAAGAATCTTAAATTTGAATGTTAGAAATTCTGGCTATGCAAAAATGGTGTTCAGCTGATAGAGTTAGAGATTACCATTCCTCTTAGCATGGCAAATGTGGTTCTTAATTTTTATTAGGAAGGGTTAATACCATGAAATGCTTTACTTTATATATCTCTTTTGGAATACGTATTTCATTTTTTTCATGTCTGTTTTGTGAAAAGGTAGAAAACTTTTAGTGGACCTTTACAAGACTTTTTTTGCCTTGGGTACGAGAGAAGAAAGGATTG